CAGAAATGTGGTCATTCTTCAAAAGGAGTATTATGAGAGCTCCTTCAATGTCCAAGTGAATTCCCAACTTTTTTTTGTTTTGTTGTTGTTCAGTGAACCTACTATTTTATAGTTATTTGCTGTAATGCTGATTCAAAGAATATTCCTTTTTGGTAAGTGTTTTGATATTTAGAGAGAGGGTTTTCTTTTATGGAGCTGTCCCTTACATGTTTTTCATCTAGGCTCACAAGTGTTTTGAATAGAAAGGATTTTAAACTAATTAGGCCGTATTTTCCTCCTAGTAAATTTTACATGCAGGCTTGGGAATTTATATGCAAAATAAAAGCAATGTTTCTGTAACATTTCCTTTCTGGTTTTTTTTTGTTGTATTGTATTTTAACAAATATATTTGATAAAAATCTTTGAATAAAATGAAAACTATCTTTGGACTTTGTCAGGAAAGGAATCTAAATTTAACGTATAACAATTGTCTGAATCCTTTTATCTTAGCCTGTGGGGGAAAAGCGGATTCCGTGAAATTTCACGTGTAATAGCAAGTAACGAATTGCAAATTGATGTTATTTCGAGAAAGGTCCGTGGTCAGGACGGGAGAAAGGAAAAAGCACTTGGGATTAAAATGTTGCGAACAGGGCCGACGGCAATGGTGCGGCAAACAGGGTCAGCCAATGAATATACAAGGGCACTCATGTCTTCTTCTTTCAAAACCCAGTGGCACGACAAATTCGACTTTTTATACCCACCGCAGATGAAACCTTTGTAGTCTCTTTTTTGCAATTTGTCCCTCCCCGGTGGCCCCCTAGGCGAGAACATCCGCCCAAACGAACTCCTGCTTAATTTTCAACATAAGCCTTCTAAAGTTTTTTTTCTCCAGCAGAAAAAATTGTTGGTATATTGAACTGACGTTAGTTCGACGGCGCTTCTCTATGTTAAACCCGCACGTCCGATTCGTCACGGGGGTCATTAATATATTCATGCGCCGTTCTAAGATGTTATTTGAACTTGAGATTTTCTTTCAACGAGAAAGGGCTTGAAAGCCAAAACAAACTTACATTTATAAAAAAGTTGAATCGCTGTACTGCTTTTTGTCAAATTTGCCAAACTAAAACTGGAAAAGGACTGGATAACCAAACAGACAGAGGGGGTGTGAACGATGATCGGCAAAAATGTATGTAGGAGCTTAATTATTTTGTTATTGGCGTTAGATGTTAACTCTTCTTAAGTCGAATCGAGTAATATCAGTAAGATTGTGAACGCCCATTTTTTATTTAACATGTTAATATGTTAGCGACTGGATGAATCAAAACCTGTTGGTTAGGGATGGTTAGGGTTTTTTTAATTTTAAAAAGTGGTTACGCAGTGCTATCTGCAGGCAAAGGGTTGGCGCCTGCAAAGGCCTCGAGATTCAACACAAACACGATTGAGAGAGTTGACCAAGCACAAAAGGCGGCTTCTTGCCCATCATCATGCATCAGGAGGATACGTGAATAGGCAGGTTATCGGGACGATCTTTCGGTCATGACTGTTAATACGCAAGACATTGGGGAATCGAGCTGGTATATCGAGTCGCTGTTCGTTTCTCTACCTCACTGAACAAGCCTCCGAACAGCAGGTTTAAGATGGAAATCGGGTAAATGGTTCGGGAAATTTGTCCACCGTCGGATTGTACCCATCCTGCGGTTTCGTTCATCCCTGCTTCTTTTTATTCAGCAGTTTCTTTATAACATTCCTAGCTAGTTATAGGAATACTTTACGTGCAGCTTAAGAAACAGTTAGCGATTCTGCTGTTGTTGCCATGATCGAAACTGTGTGGTTGCTTCAGGAATTCCGACTCGGATCGTACCCGTCCTTAGGTTTCCTTCTTCCCTGCTCTTTTTTTATCCAGCTGGTCTTTCCTAACGTTCTTAGCTGCTTCGAACAATCCTTTAACGTGAAGCTTAAGAAACCGTTGGCGAATCCGCCGTTGTATTCCATGATCGATATTAGTTTCGAGAGATTAAGGATGTCCATCGTCGGATTGAACCCATGCTTTGGTTTCGTTCTTCCCTGCTTCTTTTTATTCAACAGTTCCCTTCTAGCATTCCTAGTAGGTTATGGAAATGCTTTACGTGAAGCTTAAGAAACTGTTGGCGATTCCGCTGTTGTAGTACATGATGGACAACAGGGTCGGGTGCTTCAGGAAGTCCGACGTCGGTTCGTACCCATCCTTTGGGTTTCATTCTTCCCTGCTCGTTTTTATACAGATGTTCTTTCCTAACGTTCGTACCTGCTTCGAACAATCCTTTAACGTGAAGCTTAAGAAGCCGTTGACGATTCCGCCGTTGTATTCCATGATCGATATTAGGTTCGGAAGTTTAAGGATGTCCATCGTCGGATCGAACCCATGCTTTGGTTTCGTTCTTCCCTGCTCTTTTTTATCTAGATGTTCTTTCCTACGTTCGTAGCTGCTTTGAGGAATCATTTTAACGTGAAGCTTAAGAAACCGTTGGCAATCCCGCTGTTCTATTCCACGATCGATATTAGGTTCGGGAGATGCCCATCGTCGGATCGAACCCATCCTTTGGTTCCATTCTTCACTGTTCTTTTTTATCCAGATGTTCTTTCCTAACGTTCTTACCTTCTTCAAGCAAACCTTTTCCGTGAAGCTTACGAAGCCGTTGGCCATTTCGCTGTTGTACTCCAGGATCGACATTAGGTGCTGAGATTAAAGATGTCCACCTTCAGATCGAACCCATCTTTTGGTTTCGTTCTCCCTGCTTCTTTTTATTCAGTTGTTCCCTTCTAACATTGCTAGCTGCTTCTAGCACTATACTATACGTGAACCTTAAGAAACCGTTGGCGATTCTGCTGTTGTACTCAAAAATCGACAACTGGGTCGGGTGCTTCAGGAAGTCTGACGTCGGAGCGTACCCTTTTTTGGGTTTCCTTCTTCCCTGCTCTTATTTTAACGTGAAGCTTAAGAAACCGTTGGCAATCTCCTTCCTGTATCTCTCGATTGACATCAGGTGCGGGAGATTAATGATGTCCATCGTCGCCTCGAACCCGTCCTTTGGTATCTTTCTTCCCTAGCTTCCTCTAGCTGTGCTTAACATGAAACGTAAGAAACCGCGGCGATTCCACTGTTGTAATGATCGGCAACATGGTCGGGTGCTTCAGGAAGTCCGACGTCCGATCCTATCCATCCTTGGTTTTCCTTCTTCCCTGCTCTTTCTTATCCAGCTGTTTCTTCCTAACATCCCTAGCTGCTTCGAACAATGTATTAACGTGAAGTTTAAGAATTTTTTCTTTGGTTCATTTCTGAACGTGAACAGCTATAAAATAATATCTTGGTAACTACTATGAAACTAGAAGTGGATCATATATCTTGGGGGTGAGAGGTAACATGTTGAACCGCCGCTACATGTTAATCATCTCGAGATAATCCCGAACTAAACGGTAATTTTAATCCTCTTAATTAGAGGAGTATAAAGCTGTCTTCCATTAGGTTTTTCGTCATTAATATTATTTTTTTTACCTTTAGCTTATTACATAATTTTGCACATAGTTAGGTGATAGACCGAAATGAGTATAATTTAAGCATTACTCTTTTGTTTTCTAAATATGTGACAGTCGTCTGCCTTTCAACGTCAAATTTGAAACAGACAAAAGAACTCGCAAGCTGATATTTCAGCGAGATCAGTTGATGCGAAAATTCCCATGCCGTCTAGCACCTAATTAGAGAGTGAAATTCTGAAAAATATATATCATGTTCCACCATCGAAAAAGCGTTTTGATATCAAATTACCCCGACGACATCTTTAAACCTGATATTTTTTTATTTCACCCTTTTGACGTTGGTTAAGAACTGACAGCATGCCAAAATAAATAAATAAAACAGTCCTGGAATGCTGTATTTTACGTGAAAATACTATTAGGCTTTTTTTCATTTTAAATCGCAGCTCAAATATTTTTTTTTTTTGTTCCTTGCACGAAATTCTGTCGTATAAAAATTTACATTTAAATTAATAAATAAACTTAGATACATTTCGCTAATTCATTTCTTAAAATTTTCAGGAAAGCGAGTAAAAAATGTTTTATGAAATATAAACGAATGCTTGACTTATATTCAAGTCACTAATAAAAAGACTTTAAAAGTACGCAGATCGCATTTAAAAATCTCTTCATTAATTAAAAAGGGTTTAAAATAAAAGACAAGAGTGGCAACAGTGACGGTGAAGGGGATTGAGGCAGTAAAACTTGTGTACTCGCCCTCTGCCAGGGTTATTGTTCTTAATAGGTACTAAGAGTTTCCAGGAGGGGGTGTCCCGAGGTTTTATTATGTTCCACTGTAATTACAGAAGGTCCCGGGGCAAGGAGCTCACTGGATTTAGTGGCCTACGCTGACAGGGGCACGTGGTCCAAGACACAAACTACCAACTTATATAATAAAATCCCTACTTCCTTTTATTACATGAAAAATAAATGCCCCTTTTACCTCTGCCCGCCACGTCTCAACCCTTGAAATCCCAGCCGGTTTTACTTAGTAGGAAAAGTCGATGTGTAAATTACAATATTCAAGGGACCTTCGTAATTTTATTCCCAGCGCGAATTAATGGGGCTGTATTTTTTAATAAACCCCTTAGTGCTTCGGTATTTATCGCTTTTAATAAACGCTTTTAGAATTAAAGGTCTATTTTATGAAAGCGCTATAAGCTTTTTTATCAAATGAAGATAACGTCGATGTTCATTCACGGATGCTTTTTAATTCAACACTTTCTTACAAACTTTTTTTTTGTAATGTTTGTAAATCCCAGGCCCTGAAGATGATCTCAATAAAGATCGAAACGTTGGCACGATAAAGAAAATGTTTTTCTGAAATCTACGTCACACCAGACGCATCTCACGATTTCTAAATAAACATCGATTAACGGTCACTAATCACCACACATTTCTTACAAACGTTATATTCTATTCCTTCAATCACAATTAATTATTTCAATTAATTTTACGTCTTCTTTTCTCAGATGGAGTCGTCAGCTACAGCATACCGAAAGACGAAAGCTGGAAGCCGGGACAGGATTTGAGCGACGTCTCATACGACGGTGAGGAGGACGGGCCGCTTCTGGTCAACGGTCTTGGCAGACTGGTCGACGGGACTTACGGAGGCGACAACTTCAAAATGGATGTCGGCCTAGGAAAAGGTAAGCGATTAAAAACATAGACATATATTTATATGTAGACGAATTGTGAAATCAGAAATATCTACACTGGATAAACTCTGAATGATTAAACTGTACTTTAAATTCCATTTTTCAATAATATTATTTCAAAAAAGTTGTGGCAGCTAACAATTTTGATTTTACATAAAACAAGCAAATTATTAAATTTGAGAGTTTGTGCTAGTGAATGATCAATGTTGATAATGTCCATTATGTTTAGTGGTTTAATTGAACAAATTACTTATTTCAATCAATTATTCTTTTTATTTAAGGTATTGGTTGAGATGAAAAAGTCAGTGTGACGAGCGGGATTCGAACCCGAGACCTTCGGCTCAATACGCCGCTACTCTAACCACCAATGTGACACCAACTCCCCATCTCAACCTTTCGAACTTGCCCTCTTTTTGCCATTTTTCAAATGTCGTGTAATCAGTGTCCAAGTGGTTGGAAGTCACGATAGCTCAAGTGGTTCGATCAGCGGCGTATAGAGCTGAAGGTCGTAGGTTCGAATCCCGCTCGCCACACTGGCTTTTTCACCTCAACCAAGACCTTACATAAACAGAATAATTAATAGAAAATGATAATGTCATTTCGTGCGAGTTGCTTCATTGACAGTTTTGAAAAACGTAAAAGTGAGACGTAAATCAGCGAGAATAGACGGACCCATTAAAGTTAACAGAAATCCACATATGTATTTTGTTCCATTTAAATTAATTATACTTTTTATATAAGGTCTTGGTTGAGATTAAAAAGCTAGTTTCAGGAAGGGATTTGAACCCAAGACCTTCGGCTACTCTAACCACTCGTGCTGTTGTGACCAAGACTTTTGATAAAAAAGCATTATTAATTCAAATAATTAATACGGTTAATTATGACCATTAAATACATATGATTGATTAATTTAACAATTACATGATTATTTGGAGGTCGTGAGATGCGGTCTGTTGTGACAGGTTTTAGAAAAACATTTTTTTTATCGTGCCTGATAAAGAAAATGTTTTACTAAAACCTCTGTCACACCAGACCGCATCTTACGACCTCCAAATAATCATCAATTAACGGTCAGAAAACAGCACACATTAATAATTACAGAAACACTTATTTCGCTAACATCTCCTTGTGGCCACTTCATAACTCGCCGAGAATCGAATTCTGATTCGTTGTCTTGATTTTATAAATTATCTGTCCATGGGCAGCCAAGAAAAATTATTAAACTCCTCAAAATTTATTATGGACAAAAGAAGGTCTGACAACTGAGTTTGCCTACGATAAGGGAGCCCAACAAGGCTATATGCTCAGTCCCGTACTGTTCTCAATCTTCCTTAACGTCCCGGGTGACTAACTGATGGACAACAAACTGGATGACAAGTAATAATAAATGGACGAAAAATAAGTCACTGACGGCGACATAGTGGGATGCACACCCGTATCTCTACTGCTCATGATTTAGAAAAGTGATTTAGAAAAGTATTGCGATAAGTGGAACCTTAGTTATAATACCTTAATTTGAATCTATCAAGATCCCAAACTATGGTCTGTCGGCGGGGAGGCATAAGACTTAAGAAAAATAAAAGATGGTTCTTCAAAGGTGAAAGAGGAAACTACAAATACCTCAGTATCAACTACGTCTAAAGATGAAGCATCACTGCAGAGAGAAGGCCAGCTAAGTACGCCGTTAACAGTCTGTAGCGCAAAATAATGACAAACAAGAAGATCTCACAAGAAAAAAAAGATGGTGATATTCAACAGCACCCTCAGGTCTGTACTATGTTACGGTGCGCCGATTTGGGGTTATTTATACCTAGAGGAAATAGAAAAAATTCAGAAATACTTCATTATGAAACTTCTAAGCCTGCCAATTAACACCGCAGTCAACTGTAATATATTAGAAAAGTACTCAACCATGTACCTGACACACTGACTCAGTTTTTAGAAGACGTGGTAATAAGTAAAGGCATGTTGTGGCATAAGCAGATGTTAAGGAGGCTGTACGGTGTAAGAGAAGTAGGGAGAAACTTAAGTTCTCAAAAACCACTGACCTGATAGTGAGAGGCAAGCAAAAGGGACGATCTGGTAAGCAGTGCGAGAACTAGCTTACATCATAACTTATACGACGGAATTTAGACTTTGGCCGAAACTACATGAATTGCTCTAGTATGACAATTGGTTTTAAGGGTGAGGGTGAATAGCTCCAGCTGAACTGCCAACCGTGGAGACAGGACCGCGCCCATTGGGGGTTGGAATGTCATGTAACATTGAGGTTCTTTGTCGTGCACACCTGGCCGATTAGGCCTTGTCATAAGTTTAGATTCTCAAGTTAGGAGCGACTCACCTCCGTGCGCGGAAAATCTGCTTCTTCCGCGAGGTTCGGTGAAGAAGACCACAAATCCACAGATTAATCGATAGACATGCTGACTTCTCCCGCTTGCCCCTTCCGAGGGGGTGTGTTAACGTTGTGCACTTAACCAGTGCCGCGCGTAAAGGTATACCCAAAAAGTGGCCGAAATGCATCAGCCAAGTAAATAAAGAAGACAACTCTCTCTCCTTGGGTGTAGGGGCTCCGCTAGCGTCTAAAACTCCGGATACGCTCCGGCCGCGGTTTTGATTTTAGTGGAATCTCTAACCACCCCCTAGAGGAGTACCACGGTAAAGGCAACACTGACGGCATACACCGACAAGCACCTGTCCCGACCACCATTCCTCACGCATTCGAAGGACGCCGGCAGTGTAGTCAGAGCTCCTCGCTGTCTATACGCTCTCGGCAATCCGATCCATCCGATACCCACGAGGTCGGGAGGTAATTCGGAGGTCATGCGCAAGTACTACGGTCCACAGCCACGAATGAGACACAGCCTCTTCTCTAGGTGCTCGCCAGAGGTCTCACCTCTCAGCCACTGCGAGTCCTTACCCATCCAGCTGGGCTTGCTCCTTATGCTGCCACAACCTCCCAGAGGACATTTATCACTTCAAGTGAGTGTACCCTTTTCAAAGAGAGTTCTGCCAGAAGTTCTTTAGGAAACTGAAAGAGAAATCATTGACATCCTTAACAAAAGGGATAACTGGAAGAATTTTGTTTCGTACCATACTCACCCGCTTCCTTACCAAAAATATTTGATCGACCACTTCAATTTCTAAAATCAAATAAGGTATTTAAGGCAATTCGACAGGCAGCTATTGTCAATAATAGCTTTTACTAAATTTAAAGTTAATGTATAAACACTTTTGTAAATAAAGCGAACATTCATTCATATTTTGTCTTGTCGCACCTGCAAGGACAATCGTACCGATGTCGAATATTTGTTTCACCTATTATCACTAAAAAATAGTATCATTAAAATCGGTGATCTCACGTCCGTACGCTACTCTGATAAGCATTAAACGATTAACTAAGCTTTCAACCCATACGTTACAAAGCAGTAATCGATAACAGGATCAATAGCCTTTTCCAGTCTGAAAAAGCTTTGGGAGACCCCCCCACAGTTTGATAAAAAAAAAGCAGAACAACCTCGTCCCAGGTAATTCGTCGAGATGCAACCATTAATAACGCCTTTTAGCAAAATGGAAACTTCGCGTCTCGTTGTAATTCCGGTTGCCAAAACGGTTTCGATTAAACAGAGAGAGGGAGAAACTGCATGAGGTTTTAAACCATCCCTATCCATTAACCCAGTTTGAGTCCAATAAACACCGATACGATCAATCAAAGGGAAAAGCTATAAATTGCTGTTGCACATTGCCTGAAACCGGGGAATGATATACTGTGAAACATTTGCCTTGTGTACTTTAGAATGACTGATCATTTCAGACTTGTCCGATTCGTATATTTACTCCCGGTAGTGAGTGTTCGCGTGTTCGACCTACAAAGAAAATCGCACAGAAACTACTTAGATTAATGAAAAAAACAGAACACAATGTGTACATTATTACTCTCACAAGTATTAAGTCGTGTTATTTCTTAAATCATGCTCTTATTATCTACGACGACTTTAGACTATGCTCATCTACAAATCCACCGCTACAGATGATAAAATGCATAAATGATTTAGGCTTCCTGCAAAACCGCGTCTGGAAAACCACCTAACTAAAGCACCTTGCTTTTGCGGTAGGTCAGACACATTTCAGTATGTCACCATCGTTTGGATAGAGTCCAAGCATTTAAGATATGGAAATAACAACAATTTCTGGCCCAAAATAGCAAGGATCAACAAATTAGGATGATGGAAATTGACCAAACTGAATGATCTTGCTTTTTTGGTTTGTCAGACTCCATTGCTGCCTAGCCATTCTGGTTTATAAGTATTGGCCATTCGTCTTCAATTTTTGTTTTGTTCCTCTCATCCTGCTTACAACCCTAAAGATGTTGAAGGACTGAAGCGCGAATGACAGACCAAATCCGCATTGATAATCAGTCTAGGATGATCAAAAACAACATTTTATTTTGTCTCGCTCTGCCAATAACCCGACAAGCTACAAACCCAATACTGGAGATGACTAATGTCGAAACGTCTCTAAAACACACATACCCACAAATTTGATTATCCTTGTCTTCTAATCCCCCTGTTTTGGTTTGTCAAAAGGTTTTGGCATTATTATCAATAGTTGGTATGTGTCTAGCCTCTCATTCCTTAAAAATACCAAATTTTTCCTGACAGATCAAAACTGCGAGGTCTTGTATTCGTTCTTTCCAATATTTTTAACCTCCCTATCCAAACCATTTTGATCTGTAAGTAGCTTTTGTCTCTTCACCATCTTCCACGATTGGTTCGTATCCGTTTCAACCTGGTTTTATCCCTAAAGATGGCGAAATACTGAAACATATCGATCAATTTCGTTTTTTCCTGCTCTACCTATCAATTCGGTTGGTTTGTGTCAAGCCTCACCCTACTTAAAACTCTGAATATTAAATGCATTTAATACAGCATTTTAAAAAATTAATTGTAATCATCTAGGAACAACAATTAACAAGTATCCCAAGTTTGGCCATTTCTGATCAACCTGGTCTTCCTATCCTCACTATTTTTGCCTGTCAGAGACATTTCTGCATTAATGACATTTAGTGATGAGTTTATAGTTATAAGCAGAATGGGGCAAGACATAAACACACTACTAAAGATGGTAAAATGCCGAAACGTGTCTATCAGATCAAAATTTCATTGGTAGACAGCTTAGGATGATTGAAAACGACGTTTTTGATTTGCTCGCCTTGCTTATAACTCTGTCTAACTAAAACTCAAAACTGCGGGTATCGAAATCGATTCCCTAAAGATGGTGAAACGCGACAACCAAAACAGTGAGATCCTGAATCGGAAACAAAGACAATTTTACTTGCCTATCCGTGCCATTTCGTCAGTCAGTTGGTTCGCATACGCCTCTCCTTGCTGTACAGATTTTGGTGGTGAGTCTGTGCCTTCTCCTTTTAAAAGGAACTGAACTAAGGAATTAGAGAAAGTACAATGTACACCACTGAAGATGGCGCATAAGACACAAGTTTTCAGTTCTTAAAGAATACCCAAACCTCACGTCCTAGTATACACACTGATCATTTGTCTTGACTTAACCGCCTATAAACCTGACCAAGTATAAACACTGTTTGAAAATGACAAAAGGCAGAATCGCAACTGACATACGAAGTCTCCAAGAACATGCAGTTCGATGAAGCCAATCCTGCTGTTTTGTCCTGCCAGCAGCCTTGAACGGTGGGTGTCTAGTTGACCAGGGTTATAAGCAAGGTGTGACAAGAACCAAATTGACCACTGAAGATGATGAAATTCCGAAACGGCCCTTACAGACGAGGTCCGTGAATAGTTCGTTGGTCTGCATATTCTTGCTGTTTTATCTGTCAGAAGCTCTCTTGAACGAAAACCAACGATAAATACTTATAGATTTTCTTAGTTGGTTTTTTTCAGTTTATTGCGAATTATGATTTTTGTTAATCCAGTTGTACCGGATTTGTATTTATGTCTTTTAAATGCACTGAGAAGTATTGAATTTACAATACATTGAATAAATACAAATCAAATGGATTAGTTCAAATAAAACGCAACATAAATAATTTTGTCGTTGAATTGATTACTTCTGTTAAGTTTTTAAATTAATTCATAAAAAAGATAGTGTCACAAGAGGGATTTGAACCTACGACCTTCGACTCGTCACTTCGATCCACAGGGGCACCAACTCCTCACCTCAACCCACAACCTTTCGAATTGTTCCTCTTTTTGCTTGTCTCTTATTTTGTCTTCTCTCGCCAACTCCCACTGCTGAAAACAACCGAATATCATAACGTCCTGTCAGACAAAATGATCGAGATAATCCAAATCGGCCTCGCTAGTCTAGTCTGTCAACACCTTTCCTAGTTTCGGTTATAGCAGTAGGTTTTCCACCAGCTGATGATGATGAAATGCAGGTTTTCGGTCAATCTTATCCGCAAATCCACGCTGTTTGAATCACTCAGCTTAAAACCAAGGCCAACCATTTCCGCCGATCCTTCTTGTATTACTCAAAAAGAGGTCGAGGGTACGGAGATAATTTAAGAAAGAAAATCGCCTGAAAGTATGATCATACTCGGGTAATTAAATCCATTAATTCATAGTTGTGCAGTAGAAGAAATTTATTTTCTCTCACAGTAACAAATTCAAACTGGTCTTAATCCCAAGTTTATCTCGTAAATGTAGAGTTCATTCAATGTTTCAGCCAGCTGTAACAAGTGTACAATTTTATTTGAGCAAGTGATATTATATATACACGATGTACATAAAAGTTGAATTATTCCAATTTGTATATAAGATAGGTTGAGAAAAGAAGTAGGTGTCCGTGTGGATGAAAGTCACGATAGCTCAAGTGGTTCAAGCAGCGGCGTATTGAGCCAAAGGTCGTGGGTTCGAATCCCGCTCGTGCCATTGACTTTTTTATCTCAACTAAAAACCTTAATTAATTGTAATATATTAATTGGTCAAGAGGACCTCGAAATTAGTGAATTTAATGATTTAAAATGAAGTATACTTCACTAAAGCTCTCCGTGGCCATTTCTTTTGTCGCCGAGAATCCAATCCGATTACTCGACATTTGAAAAATGGCAAAAAGGAGGGAAAATTGAAAAGGTGGGGTTGAGATAGGAAGTTAGTGTCAAGATAGCTCAAGTGGTAGAGCAGCGGCGTGTCTAGCCGAAGATCGTCGGTTCGAATCCCGCTCGTGACACTGACTTTTTTATCTCAACTAAAAACCTTAATTAATTGAAATTATTGAGAAATTTATGTTGTCACAAGGGTGATGAAACTGAAATATGGTCGCTATCATTTTGGTCTTTTTACCCTCGATCCAAGAATTTTTTCCAGACAAGAGAAAAAATACTTTAGGTTAGATTTTAGGTTACTTTCAGGTACGCAGGAGATGGTTATTAATCGAATAATTGTTTTATTGATTTGTGTAATTTTAGAGTGATGTTAGGTCTGCTGGTCTTAGGGCCTGTTGAACCAATCTAAGTTTAAACCGGCTTCACTACAACCTCGTTCATAATTTGACCCAAGTTTAGAAAATAGAGCGTTAAACTACAAATGATGGCGCGACCAAATAAATACGCGAGAGCAAACCTGTTGAGTCCTTTCGTAAAAGAAACAGAAAGTGCTGGACTTACTATTGCTGATTAGAAAAGAAGAACATTCAGTTATTTTAATTTCATAAGTTGATCTAGGTCAAGATAGCTCAAGTGGTAGAGCAGCGGCGTATTGAACCGAAGGTCGTGGGTTCGAATCCCGCTCGTGATACTGACTTTTTTAATCTCAACCAATACCTTACATAAAGATTAATTAATTGAAAAAAGTGATTCGGTCAATCGGACCACAAAGTCTAATGAATATAATAAATAAAATTAAGTATATCTTCACGAAAGCTCTCCGTGGCCATTTCATTCGTCGCCGAGAATCGAAAGGAGCAAAAAGGAGGGAAAATTCAAAAGGTGGGGGTTGAGATGGGAAATTAGTGTTCGAGTTGATCGAAGTGACGTTAGCTCAAGTGGTAGAGCAGTATTTAGCGGAAGGTCGTGGGTTCGAATCCCGCTCGTGACACTGACTTTTTTAATCTCAACCAATACCTTACATAAAGGTTAATTAATTGAAATAAGTTGTTTGGTCAATCGGACCACGAAATATAATCGATTTAATTTGTATATAGCGCAAAAACTTAATTATTGATTTTGTTTTTGTCTGTAAAACACAGCATAAAAGAAACTCAACGACATGAAAGAGAATTTTATACTATTAACAATACACTTCGCTAACAAAAAAATCATATTCATATGTATTCATATGGGACGACCATGTGCAATATGTAACAATAAATCTTTGAGTATATTGATCCCGTTCTATTTATCTCTATATCATCCGTTATGTACACATCGTTAATACGATCAGGATTACGTTTATTGTTCATATGTGTGTTTGCGAAGTGCTTACTAATTCCAATTATTCCCCGGCATCCTTTGACAACAATAATTATATCTTAGCATTACATTTACAAAGAGGTTAAACGTATAATTTAATTGGTACAGAATACAAAAAACACGACAAATATAAAGGAAAGATTGTATACTTTTTTCGAGTTAAATTGTATATTATTGTGTTATAACATTAATTTTTTACAGTTTAACATAAACCTATGTTAATTAATTATAATTGATTTTTTTCTTAATGAATAATTGCATCTTTTCAGGTAACGGCTGGGTCGGTTGGAAGAACGACTCCTTTCCGAAGAACTTTTTCGAGTTGGTCTTTGAATTCGACACCGTCAGAAACTTCAGCCTAGTCAACCTCTTCACGAACAACTGCTTCACGAAACAAGTCCAGGTAACAAATCACATGTCCATATTAAATTTAAAAAATAAATTAAAATTATGCTATTACAGTTGGAGTATTTTTTGTTACTGAACGAAAATTTTTTTTGTCATTTTTGTAGATGTCTATATCTACTCTTCGTCAGACTAGATATTAAAAATAAAATTGAAAGGTGTTATTACGAGCAATGATTATTTGGAGATATGAGGTGCGGTTTGGTGTGACGTAGGTTTTAGAAAATCATTTTCCTTATCATGCCAACGTTTCGGTCTTTATTGAGTTCATCTTCAGGGCCAGGGACCGCGGTAGCCGAGTGGTTAGCATGAGAGACTCTCACGCCGCGGTCGTGGGTTGGATTCCCACCGTTACCCCTGGCCCTTTTTTCACAATAACCCCCCCCCCCAAATTTGAACACATATATACGAATTGTCACATGGCTAATATGCATAGTTCATAACGCAAAAAAAAAATCTTCAGGGCCAGGGATTCATAAACATGTTTAAATTTTACAAATACATGTAGGATGTGAAAAAATATATTGTAATCATTGGCTAACGATCACTAAACACCACACATTCATATGAGCAATAATAGTTTATGTAATATGTTTAAAATAAAAAAGGAATTCTTGTCAAAAAGGAATTCTTAACGCGCAATTATTCGTTGGGTGTCTCAGGAGAGGAGTCAAACCACTTCCAAATACATTTCTCATCAATAAAAAAGCCATGGGCTCTGCCGGGATTCGAACTCAGAACCGCTAGCGTGGTAAATACGAGTTGGACGCCCTGACCAGTCGGCCATCCGGTCCCCCATATAATACAAATCAGCCGTTATCATCTCACCGGAGACCTCACAAATAAACCTTACAATTTAATATAATGTAGTTACAAATAGATATAGATATATTTTTCTTCTCGATGCGATGTCAATTTTTATAAAATAATAAATATTTTTGTCACAGTAAAATACTTGAACTTTGATTTTATTAATTTTTAAGACAAAATTTAAAACTGTAACAATTACACCGAGGAAAATCTTGTACCCTGAGGTAGTGTGAATGTAGTCTGATGTGTATGCAATTTATTAGCGTGAATGGAAGGGCATATCTCCAATTTACCCCGTGGAATATCGAGTATTCTTGGTTATTATGAATGCTAAAAAGAAAATAATGTTTTTATCTTAATTCTGTGTATTGGCGTCTGTTATTTGTCTTATTTTATCCATAATTGACGAGGCCCTGAAGTACAGAGGGAGCATCGGGGTATTGAGCCGAAGGTCCTGGGTTCGAATCCCACTCGTGACACTAATTTTTTCATTTCAACCAATACTTTACATAAAATGATTAATTAATTGAAAAAAATTATTTGGTCAATCGGACCACGAAATATAATGTAATATTCAGAAATTGAAAAATAAAGCAGCACATATAAACAATTATAATTACAACAATAATAATATAAATATGACTGAATATGAAACAAATGCCATAATGAATCCTTCATAAGACAAATAGTAAAAAAAAATACAAGCATCCAAGAAATAAATGAAAGCAGTGTTGATATAACAAATTAATGTCTTCAGTCTTTGGCCGAAAGATTTATCGAGGAGGACGGGCTCTCTAATCCCTCGAGAAAGGGCAAGGCGAGAACTTTAATGGCACACTTATGTAAATTCGAGTGAAGAAGGGGTTGTGGCATGGGTGAGGGTAGTTTGAGCATAGGCCCGGGGGTTGAGAACAACTTGAGGTAGATTACTATAAATCGAGACCTCTTCGGAGAAGGCTTCACCCACGTTAAAACCCGGTAATTCTTTGAAATTAAAAACGACGGCTGTAGATTCCGAATTGCCTTGAGAAAAATTAATTTGCGATAAAATTCGAAATATTTGGCCCCTGGCTTTTTTAATATCATGGTACAAGACGCATACGATGTAGAAAAAAAAGCAAAACCTAGTTATAAAAATGAAAGTCATTTTAAAAAAGTCCACCAATTTTTTTAGTCAACTTGCTGGAAAAATTCAATTCTATGCGGAATACTTCAAAAATTAAAACTTTTGAGGATTTCGCAAAAATCAACATTTAACTGCCAACCAGAAGTATTTTTATGCGTACTATTACTCAATAATTTGATAAAATACAGCCTACTAATCAACATTGGCCATCTATTGTGTACTACCTTATCGGAATTCGGTCATTTATCAAGGTTATAAGATGGTCGAGACAAGGAAAAAAAACAGCAAAATCCTATCGTTTCATCCTGGTTCGATCATGCTTCCCCGACAATCACTGCACTTTTCGTCTCTCAGATGTGTTTCGATGTTTAATCATCTTCAGCGATAAGTACTAGTTGGTCGGGGTTATAAGAAGGTTGAGGCGAAACACCAACCACTGACCAATGTCGTGGTGCAATGCCAAAAGCAGACTAAACCATTGAAGAGAGCAAACCAGTGCTCGGAATGGACCAATCTTGTAGATAGGCTACGATAGTTGTTGATTTGGCCAGTCTGATGTCATTGGGTTTTCACCATTTTTAGTGTACTGTTGGTAGAAGGTCAGGGTTATAAACAGGGTGAGGGAAGACGTTTAAGCAAGAGAAATAGGGAAACATTCAAGATAGACTATGAGCAAAATTGAGATCATCGTTGCTTTGGTCTCTCTGATCTCGTTTGGGTCATCACCATCTACAGGGTTGATTTAGTGGTTAAGGTTAAAAGTAAAGCGACCAAGACAAAAACTGCGAGATCCTCTTTGTCATCTTAGGCTGTTTATCTACGCGGGTTTGGTCCTTAAGAAACGTCTCAATTTTTACCACCTTCAGAACTAGAGCAGGGTTATAAAGACATAAACTACCTGATTCTATAGTCACTTTTTTTCAATCTTCCTAGGCAGTCTAACAACGTACTTTCGATCTGGCAGAGACGTTTCATTCTTCAATGCAGTCACAACTGACAAGTGGTGAGTTTGTACTTGGTCAGGGTTATAAGCAGGGTAAGGCAAGACACAAGACACCAGTGGAAATTGTAAAAAAGAGATACAGCCAAGAGGTTGTGTCTAAACTACATATTCTTGTTCTGTGGTCTTTTCACCACCATTAATATTACATCAGTAGTTAGGGTAATAAGCAGAGTAAGGCAATACGTAAGCCAACTACTTGAAATGGTGAAAAGGAGAAACAGCCAAAAAAGTTAGGCTGTGACCAAATTACATATCCTTGTTCTGTCATCTTTTCACCACCTTTAGTATTACGTTAGCAGTTAAGGTAATAAGCGGAGTAAGGCAATACGTAAGCCAACTACTTGAAATGGTGAAAAGGAGAAACAGCCAAAAAAGTTAGGCTGTGACCAAAGTACATATCCTTGTTGTGTGGTCTTTTCACCACCTTTAGTATTACATACAGTAGTTAGGGTAATAAGCAGAGTGAGGCAAGACATCCACACTTGGAGATTGAAATCTGGATTGCCAATCAACTTTTTGGAAAATTTCGTTTGGAAATTTGAACAACGTGAGAGAACGTTGGGGTCTGTAAGGTGAGGGTGTTGTTGTTTTGTCATCTCAATTCGTTTGTTAATTTTTCATCTTCGGTGTTATCTTTGTGCCTTTTCTCACCATGTTTATAACCATGACTAACTAAAAAACCATCGGTAAATATAATGAATTGCTAAAACGCGTCTGAAAGTTGTGATGACAAAGGTTATCAATGATACTTTTTTTTAATACAAAGCGCCTGTTGAACCTAGCAAGTGAGGATGAGCAGAGCAAAATTACAGGAACGATTTATTTGAAATGTATCAGATTTTCTTATATTACATTCTTCGGTTTTCTTATTTCCATTGGGTGATAGAAATAGAATTTTAAAATTAAATATTAAAGGTAATGACAAGACAAAGTGAACAGCAATTAGGAAAATTGTGAAGATGATGAAAATTAATTAAAAAGTAATATTTTATGGAGGTATTGGGTTCAATAGCAATCATGCCTTTTTAACGAGCTGTGAATTGTTGGCTCGCTTTAGGTCACCATAAAATTTAACATTGCTGTCCATTGGCCGCACAATTTTTTCAATTAGTATTTAAACAAACCGACTTGTCGAAAGTTAAATATATCTGCGTTATCTACCATGTCGTAAAAACAATCTAAACGAGGGACTGTCAAGATATGAACAAAGCTCGGTTGAATAAGTTTTAAACAAAATAATTAACAATATCTCATGAAAGTTTTACTCTCTGGGTGACTGAAATTAGCAAATTTTTCGCCTGGGACCCCTCTACATCGGTGATTTTATTGCAATCGTTACAATCCAAACTTTCATCCCTTCGGACGTTGCCGACTCCCCCCGCCGCTGACATGGGCCTCGGTGGGATAACATGAACATTGAATTGAGCTACCCGTCGAAATGAATTCCGTTGGGCCTCTAACTCAGTTCAAGTGTCATGCATGCCAACAATATAACTGTGTGACAAATTAACGATTTCGACGGCGCAACACCGGCTTCCCTGTCTGAAGTATTAAATAATTAGTGCGTCACGGACGCAGTTCCGCTGACCTTTCACCCCGGCTGACTTTCAAAACTTCGCCTCGATTCGCTCAAGTTCAACGACGAATATAACCATTACGTCCGAATTATCGAAATCAGCATAATTATTTAATTATAAAAAAATATTTAACAAGATCCTTCTCAAACGATTGATCCCTAAACTAAACCCCCTCACCTAAAGATTCCACATCCCAGCAGATGTGGACCACATACCCTCGTCCTTTGAACGTAAACAAAACTGCATGGAAGCTAGGCGTGACACAAGCGTTTGATCGCATGATAAAGGAATTCTCCTGAATAAATGAAAGCATGTCATTCGAAATACCTTGTACCTGATCCTTCGCTCCAACCTATCAGAACGCTTCTTCCGACTTTTCCAAGGATCGGAGTACTAGTCCATCTGAGAGCGGGAGTGCCAAAGGGTAGTGTGCTCGGACCAATCTTGTACTTCACTCATTCCATTCCCCTTGCTTCGACGAC